TGTGTGTGTTTGTGTGTGTGTCCAAGCTCCTGCAGGTATTTGTTCCCCCCCATACAAAATTAGTTACATTATATATGTTTATATATTTATAAAGGAGTTACATTTTTAACAACTGAAATTACTGAAACTGAATTACTGAAATTAGTCAAACAACTGAAACCTAAAAACACAAGGAGAGCTTTTAAGCCTCAAAGGGTGCCCTCATACAATAGGCAGTTAATAAATGTAAATTGAGCAAGTTAATGATTTTTCAGTCAACAAAGCTGAAGAACAAAGAGGACATTTACACTGACAGATACACAAAAACTGGAGAAAAATTTTAGGCCATTTAATTCATTGGCTTGATTTTTTAAACTTTTTAAAAGATCAAAAGGAGATTAAATAAACTCAAAAATGCTCATCTGTTAGGCCAACAAATTTTCTGGCAGCGGGTTTTTACCTTCACATACATCTCTATTGTAATAACAAACACTGCACTATCCTTCCCTTTGACCTTTCCTCAAACCCCCCCCACACACACACACACACACTTCACTCATAAAAGGTTTGGCATATTTCTAATAACCTTTTATCAGAAGATGCAATTATTGCCCGATAGCAATATATAGGTTTACTGGGTCAACAAAGTACTTTTAATAAGCTAGGACTTTCGCTGGTGCTTTTGATGCAAGTCTACATGCCCTGACTTTCCGCTCATTCGAGGCGCTAGCCCTATCTGCTTCACCCTCCAACTCTGCAGAATTGGTGAAAATAGGTGAACACTTCTTAAAAGTTTTAAAAAATTTAACAAAATAATGTGATCTTCATAAAAGTCAGCAGTAGGAACTGCAAACATAAAAGGAGGTCAAAAGAAAACCATCCATTTAGTCAATGAGGATAGTCATACCTAGTTGACTGGATTTATAGTAGCACATTGTTAACTATAAATATCCCTTATCTCGCTGATTATTTCCTTGTGACTGACGATCCAATGTATGTCACTCGGTCAACTCATGGGCTAAGATAATTCCTTAACATATCAAATTTCTCCTATGTAACTATAAGCAACTGGAGAGCAAGCACCCTGTCTTATACCAGTTTTAATATCCTCCCCCCATCTTACGCACAATGCTATGCACTTAAGAAGCACCTTATAAAAGATTTACTAGGAAAACACCCACTTTTTATGTCTATTTCTGGGAATTAAGAATATATACGCATGATGGGATTTACGGTTGGGAGTTGGAGCTTTCTATACAAAGCTGAAAGGTAGAGGTCCTGTCCTTTTACGAGGAAGATGGTAACTAACATTTGGGATGGAGAGCAGAGCCTGTTTTGGGGGTAGAGGTGGTGGTTTCATGTTTAACGAAACCACTTCTACTGCCTAGCTAATTCTAATGCAGAGCTAAAAAGCGAGAAGCAGCATAGGGTCTACTTCACTTCAACCTTCCTCTGAACATCTCACAAAGAATAAGGTACTCTTCGGGTTTCAGTCACGTCAAAGTGTAACTGAGAGATCTGGTCACTCAACTATTGTTCTGCAGCACACTTTCTGATAAAGATTTTCGACTTTCCGTTTTCACTCTCTTAAAAGACTCTTCATTAAATTTTCCTGTAATGTTAAAAATTATCTAGACTCCAATATCCTGAGACCGATCATGCGAAAGGGGGCAGATTCAAAGGTACCAGCCCCCGAGGCTGGTAGGTTTCAGACATCTCTGCCGCAGACAACAGCACTCGGCTTCCTAGACTTCAGAAAAAGAAAGAGGAGGTGAAATTGGGGGTGATCGAGATCCCGGAGGGGTCTGAGCGGTGGCGGCGAGCAGACAAAGTTGGCAACACGGAAAGGAGAGGAGTCTGGCTCCCCGCCTCGAATGCACAGGCGGGCAGCGCAGGGGCCGGGTGGAGGGGCCGGGGCTGGGGACCGAGGAGAAACCCCGAGGAGCCTCAGGAGACCGGGCGGAGCAGGACACCAGCAGGCTGAAGAGAGTGGCCCTCGGCCACAGACCAGGGCTGCCAACAGGGCACCGGTGGAAGGGGGGAGCCCCCAAAAGAGTCGGGGTACGAAGAGACGACGAAGGGAAAGCTGGCAGGGGCTGGACACGGAGCAGCAACACTCACCAGGGCCGCGGGGGAGGCAGGGCTGGGGCGGCGGGCAGCCCCGGGCGCCGGCCCGGCCAGCGGTCTGGACGTGCGGGCAGGCGACTCCCAAGGGCGGGAGCCCGCGGGTCGGGAGGGGAGGAGACGCGAGAGGGAGCCCAGGTAGGAGCCCGGGGAGGGTTGCGGGCGAGGACAACAGGAAGCGCCCCAGCTGCCGGAAAAGACGGCAGCGCGCAGGGGCCAAGGCCGCCGGGTCCCCCGTCGCAGACAGGGGCTGGCGCGGCGGCCGGGGGCCGAGACTGCGCACGCGTGACTCCCCGGGAATGGGCGGGGGCTCGGGACTGCGCATGCGCGGCCCCGCCCCGCGCGCCCCAGTCGGAGACGCTTGTCTGTAGACAGAAGTGTGAGGTGCGGGGGGTCTACGAGTGGGCGGTGCCGGGGAACGTTTCCTTGGGTCTTGTGATTTTTGTTGTTGTTTTTATTGTTTATTTGGAAATACAGACTCACGAACAGTTGTAAAAGTAGTACAAAGAGACCTTCTGCACCCCTGGCGAGGTATAGAAGGGTCCTTCTGCAAACAGAAAAGGGGTCAGCAGTGACAGGAGGGGGAGCTCGCGCAGGACTGGGACCACTGCTCCTTGGGGAGGGGCTTAGTGATGGTACTTGTGCAACATTAAGGGTTGCAAGGATCCCATGGAGGGAGGACAGGGAAGAAGGATTGTAGGAAGGAGACATGGTGCATTAGAAATGTGGTAATGAAAAATCTGGTTTGGCAGTTTAGGCAGGGTATCGGTGCATGAAACCAAACGGCGGGTGAAGGGCCTCCCTGGTGGCGCAAGGGGTTAAACACCGCGCTATGAAGCAATCTGCAGCCTCTGCAGCACGAGTTGGATCCCCGGCCAGGGAGAAACCCACACTGTGCAGCAGACCTCCTGACTTGCCCGCTGCTCCCCTCAGCAGTGTATTTCTTCAGTCTGCCTGTTCTGATCCCCATGCTGTCTCTGGTGAATCCACACACACACACACACACACACCACCATCTCTGGTCTGTGCCCCAGCTCTTGTATGCTTAAATAAACAAATATTTAAAAAAAAAAAAAAAGGGCGTGTGAAGTATAGACTGATTTGTTCACTCAAATATACTACCTACTCTCCCAGGCTCAGTAAGTAGAGGATTTTGCCTTGTTCACTGGGCCCTACCCAGTGCTGAGGCTCTTCTCCCATCCAACCTCTCTCAACATTTGGGTAACTATATAATACCTTATGAAAACCAGGAAAGTGGCATTGGCACAGTACAATTTTTTTTAATATTTATTTATCCATATAAGAACTGGGGTACAGGCCCGACATGCGGGTGGTGAGAGGATTCACAGGAGACAGAGTGGGGAACAGAATAGGCAGATCTACTGAAAAACACTGCTGAGAGAAGCAGCGTGAGGCAGGAGAGGTCTGCTGCACCATATGGGTAGCTCTCTGGCAGGCCAGGGATCAAACTCGTGCTGCAGAGGCTGTGGATAGCTTCATAGTGCTGTGCTTTAACCCCTTGCACCACCAGGGAGGCCCAACACAATACAATAAGCTAGACTCAGAGCTCAGTGAGATTTAACCAGCTTGGTATACACTCATTTGTGCATGCATATGTGTGTGTGTGTGTGTTAGTGCATGCACACATGCACTCATCTGTAATTCTGTGAAATTTTATCACTCACCTGTGTAGTTGTCATCTACTTCCTTTGATTTTTGACCATTGTAGCAATAGGTCTGATGGCACCCTTCACCAAACCTAGTCTTCCTTAAAATGAGGATTACATAGTATACCTACAAACCTGCCTCTGGGAAGGGATCCCAGTAAACAGAGAATTGATAGGGACTGGGTGCATAGGGAAAGGAGTAGGGCACTATGCATGGTGTAGCAAGAAATCTGTTCACACACACATTGCTTATGGCCTATTTACTCTGACCCATAACCTGTTTTTCAAGGCTACCCAACCACATAATCTTTAGTACCTCCTGGGGTAAAGAAGTCCCAAGTTTACCAGCTTTGGGGCATTCTTTCATTCCTTGAAAATAGAGCACAGTGCTCTTAACCAGAGAGTGTCAGGTTCCTGGAAATAAAGATGAGAGAGACTTGGTGCCTGGCTGACTTCAAAGAGATCATTTAGGAAGCGAAAGAAACATGCACAAATCTTTCATTTGCATGTTCCATGATATTATGGTCCCAGCCAGCCAGGGAGCTAACCCACATGGTGTAGCAAACCTCTCCTCTCTCTCCCGCTGCTCCCCTCAGCAGTGCACTTCAGGAGATCCACCTGTTCTGTTCCCCACTCTGTCTCTGGTGAATCTTCTCACCCTCCGCACCTCTGGCCTACACCCCAGTTCTTTCATGCATAAATAAATCTTTAAAAAAAAAAGTGGAAACCCCTCTTTCCTAGACTCCCTTGCAGTTAGGGTAAGGGGCACAAAATCTGAGTGCCCCCAATCACTTACACCCACTTGTGACTGTGTTGGAAACTAGGGTGATCTGACCTTGCCCTTGCATGACTTGACCCCATTTGCTTCACTCTAATATTGGTGGTATCAGATCCTGCCTTTACTTAAATTTTGATATTTTGTTCATTATGGGCTTTTTTGCATTAATTTCTAATTTTTAAAAACACTGCCTTAAAATATTATCTTGAGTGTTTTTCCACCCTCATAAATCTTGTATCTGATGCAGGTGTCTTATTTGCCTCATCCTGCCCTAGAGCGATCACTCTGAATTTGTTCTGGCAAGAGTGGTGGTTGTGCTATACAGTTCCTAGAGGCCTCATTGGCCATAGTTGCATCACATGGCCACCCCTCCTGGGAAAGCAAGTATTCAGCTTTCTTATGCTGTGTAATGCAGGCAAGCAAGGAAGAAAGGGTTTAGAAAAGGATATTATGTGCTTGCTTCACCAGCATAGATACTAAAATTGGAACAATACTGAGATTAGCATGGCCCCTGTGCTAGAATGACTTGCATATTCCTAAAGCATTCCATGTTTAAAAAGGGGAGGAGGGGAGAATGGATATTGGCCTATCCAGCCAGTAATATCTGTCATGGTCGTAAACATTACTTTGCTGTTCTCTTTTAATCCAATTTACTAATCTAAATGGAGGGCTGACATGTAGCAGGATTTATTGACTTCTGGTTAATGGGAACAGTGAATAGATTCAATTCTTTGTATTTCCTATTCCATATTACCTCTGCCCTCACAAAATTATAATTACAATATAATTTACCTAATGCAAGCTTGTCAGTTTTATAAGAAATTTTTCTAGAAACTCACAGGGAACAAACAACCTTAGAGAGTATTGTTATTCTTTATCCCTTGGTACTTGAGTTTCTTGTTTTGAATATTAGCACTTTTTTACCTTGCCCTTTTCCCCAGTTTAAGACCCACTAGACTTTCCCTTTTCTTTAACGTCCCATGTTGTTCTCTGTCCCCTGCTTCTCCATCAGGCTGATCTGTGTTTATTCCACTAGCTGACTCCTAAAGGCATCTTACCCTCAGCAGTGTGTGCCCCATACTTGGGGACAATAACATCAGTTGTTGGACCTCCCCAGTGGTGCAGCGGTTGAGCGCTGGGTTGCGAAGCTGCCCGCAGCCTCTGCAGCGCCGGTTCAATGACCAGCCACTGCGGCAGCCTCTGCCACTGAACGCCAGTGAACTTACTGGAAAGAAGGAGGCTTTCACTCAGACATCCGAGTGAATAAGACCCCCTTCCCCTGTGCGCTGGACTGGACAGTCAGTGACGGGTAAGATCGGGGGCAGACTAAAGAAGGCACTGGCTAGCATCACGTCTGTGACTCCTGACGACCTAAGACAGGTGCAGTCCCCGAGGGGCTTCATCATGATAAACTTTGGCGTTCACATCAAACAAGGCCTACATGCCTATAAGCCTAATTTAAGCAATAAGCCCGCAGTAAAAAACCCCTCCTTTGCTTGAAAACAAGGCTGCTAAGAGCGTTGCCTACAAACAAGCCTGATGGAATTACTTACAAAGCAGTTTAACCATTAACCAGATAGTCATTGTTTCTGAATAAATAGCAAGTTAGCAACCTGTCTATAATTATACTATTTTTTCACCTACTTTGGTTTTTCTCTATATGTGTGCAATCAGTTTCAGGAAATGCATGATAAAGAAAATAGTGTGTGGCAATAGTAGTTTTAAAATAATCATAATACTTCTCACATGAGACAACACCATAAAAATTAAAATGCTTACGTAGAGAATATATTGCTCGTGATCACTAAAAGTAAAAGGTAGCAATAGTTAAATATTAATGCTTACTGATAATTGTGGTTTTGGGAAACAAATCAAGAAAAGCTAGCTTAAAGAATGCTGTTCTGTGTAAGCAACAATGATTGTGTAGATTCAGTACCTTGAGATTGTTTACTGTGCCATGTCATGGAACAGCGATCACATGAACATGAATAATGAAGTAGATGTCTTAGGCGTTACTAAGCATTTTATGCTGAGAAAAAATTAAATTGTATGAAATCATCCATTGTTAGAAAAGGTATAAAAGTGTATGATGATTTTGAGCACATTACATTCAGATCTTCACTCTTGAAGTGTGTCTGTCTGTCAGTCATTTCTGCGCCGAATCCTTGACCGCCTAGCTCAGTCTCTCATCCCTGGGTCAGCCTTGCTGCTCTGCCACTGCGCCGGTCGGCGGCAGGCCACCAGGTGAGGGTCCCACATGGCACACAGACCTCTCCCGCAGCCCGCTGCTCCCCTAAGCAGTGTATTTCGTCACTCTACCTGTTCTGCTCTCAGCTCTGGCTCGGTGAATTATCTCACCCTCCCACGCTTCTGACTGTACCCAGTGCTTGTATAAATAAATAAATAAATCATTAAAAAAAAAAAAGTAACATCGGTTGCTTCTGAATTTCCCTCCAGATATTACTGGCTGGATAGGTCAATATCCGTTCTCCCCTCCTCCCCTTTTTAAACATGGAATGCTTCAGGAACATGCAAGTCATTCTAGCACAGGGGCCATGCTAATGTCAGTATTGTTTTTGGTGCTTGCTAGCCCAGTGCTTCTCAAACTTTAATGTGCTCACAAATCCCCTATGATTTGATTAAAATGCAGATTCTGATGCAGATGAGATCTGTGTTTCAGACAAGTTCTCTAGTGATGCTAATGCTGCTGACAACAGACCACACTTGAAATAGCAAGGAACTTGAACACACATGTAAGAGAAAAATAAGAAAGGGAAACTGCCCATGATTTGGCAGTCCTAGGTCCCTCCCTACCAAGGCCAGACTCAGGTGAGGTACCCAGGACAACACTGAAGGGAGGTGTTCAAGCTTGGAGGCAGCCTCTGCACTTGCATGACCCTGAGGGTTAGGGCCTCTTACATTGTGTATCATGGGCACCTCACTTAACCACCCTGGTCTTGTCCTGGTCACTAGCAAGCAACATTTAGGTGGGGATCCCTCCAGACTACTCTCTAATGTACTCTCTAATGAATTTACATCTAAATTATGAAGGTTTTAAGTCCTCAATATCTTATGACTTAATCTTAGCAAATTTATTTAATAATCCTGTTCCTCTAAAATGTGCACAGATGATTTATTTGACTGGAGAAATCATAAGTGTTATTATTTTCTTCTTTATATTTTTCTGTACTTTCTAAATTTCTACCTTGGGCCCTATCACCTTTTTAAAATTAAACTTACATTGCAATATAACATTATTTAAGCTGCAGGTGTGCATCATTGAAAACCAACATATGTACATGTTACATTATTTGCCTCATAATTTAGTTTTCATTTTTATGAAAACTTGAAAAAGATGTGCAAACTTGAAAAAGCTGAAGTGATTTTACAAATGATAAATAACAATTCCTTGTCCCACCTACTTCCACTAGATTTACTCAGCAGAAGCAGTTGCTTTCAACAATTTTAGTTGTTTCTTCTGCCATTTATCTACTTATTTCCAAATAATACTGCTATTTCTTCAATTTTTAGTTGTATATTTTTTAAAAGATTTATTTATTTATGCATACACAAGCTGGAGTATAGGCCAGAGGTATGTGTTCGAGGGGCTGAGAAGATTCACCAGAGACAGAATAGGGAGCAGAACAGGAGAACTGACTGAAATACACTGCTGAGGGTGCGGCAGGGGAGACAGGAGAGGTCTGCTGTGCCATGTGGGTAGCTCCCTGGCCAGGGATCAGACTTGTGCTACAGTGGCTGCCAATAGCCAATATTCATAGTGCTGAGACTTAACCCCTTGATCACCACGGAGGCCCCAGTTTTAGATATTTTTTAATGTCATCAGTGATGCTGAGGATTTAACTCACATCACAACTTCTTCCACATAACTTCTTCCACCATGGCCATTCTCCTAAAATCAATATTCAGTGTTTACAACTGAGTCAAGTGGGGTAGAATAATTACACTGTCTTCTTATGCCACTTTTTGTTTTCCCTGGAGTTAACAATTGACCCGGCTTTTTCCCATGCATAGTTTTGTGGGGGTTTTTTTTAAGATTTTATTTTTACCTAGAAGAACTGGGGTATAGGCAAGAGTGAGGGGGGCTGGGTGAGAGGATTCACCAGAGACAGAGTGGAGAGCAGAACAGATGGATCTACTAAGGGGAGCAGCAGGCGAGACAGGAGAGATCTGCTGTGCCATGTGTCTCAGCTCCCTGGCTGGGGATCGAACTCATGCTGCAGTGGCTGCAGATAGCTTCATAGTACTGAAACTTAATCCCTTGCGCCACCAGGGAGGCCCTCCTATGCATAGTTTTATTTCAAAATATCTATCACTGACATATCTGCAAGATATCTTCCCAAATGGGAAAACTTTCCTCAGATTGTTACAGGGCAGGGAGAAGGGCACCCCAGGACCCCCAAACCTGCCAGCTCTAAATAGTTTCTGCCATCTGCCACATCAAGACAAAACTTATAAGACCTTTAATGGAAAGGAACTTTAGTACAATTAGTGTGCAATACAGAAATAACAGAGAATATAGTTTCTAAATCAAGCATCCAAAGTTACCCATCCCCTCATGGGTAAGTGTCCCACCAAACAGTATTGGCCCAGGACAAGACCCAAAAGCCTGCCACAAATCTAAAGCACCTTCTGGCAGGGACCCATAGAAAAGGGTCAGAAACAGCCAGACAAGTCTGGGAGGAAAAGAGCAAAATCAAAATCAAGATGAAAGCTGCCATTGTCACCTCCCCACGGGTCTCTCACCCACAGTTGTTTCAACCAGCCCAGGACCAAGAAGCAAGTGCAGTTTCTTCACATGTCTCTCTGTGCCTTCTTCAGGTCACCTTCTGGCTCTCAATCTGCTTAGCTCTACCCTCCTTTGGGTGGAGGAGGGAACCTGGAACCTGCCCTTTTCCTGGGGACCAACCCTATTACAAGATCACGGTTAAACTCGCAGACTATCAACTCTATTTTTTTCCTCTATGAACAACTCTTCATTTATTTATTTTTTTTTAAAGATTTACCTATTTATTTATACAAACACTGGGTACAGTCAGAAGCGCGGGAGGGTGAGAGGATTCACCAGAGCCAGAGCAGGGAACAGAACAGGCAGACCGACAAAGTGCACTGCTGAGGGGAGCAGAGGGCTTGGCAGGAGAGATCCTCATGCCATGTGGGACCCTCGCTGTGGCCGGGGATCGAACCGGCGCTGCAGAGGCTGCAGGCAGCTTTGCAACCCAGCGCTCAACTGCTGCGCCACCGGGGAGGCCCCGAACAACTCTTTAAATTAAGCAGATTATCCTCCATAATGCATGAGCAAAGAGTCCTCCAAAGAAACAGAATGAAAAGGAAGGAGGGAGAAAGAGAGAGGAAAGAGGGGAGAGTGGAGAAAGAGATTTGTTTCAAAGAAAAGCTCATGCAATTGTGGGGGTAGCGAGTCCAAAATCTGTAAAGCAGGCTGTAAACTCAAGCAAGAGTCGATATTGTAGTCTTGAGTGTGAAATGCAAAGGTAGACCAGTAGGCTGGAAGCTCAGGCAGTTTTTCTATGTCATCTT